TTAAAGACTCCAGAGAAATGAAAAGCTCTCATTTAGCTTTGATCTCTGAAAGCTCTTCACTTGATTCTTCTAATCCTTCTACTCCTTCTTCTTCTCTTTCCATCACTGAGTTAGATCCTTCTAACTCTGAGGACTTTATAGACACTAATTTATCAATGTTTGATGAGTCGATGACCCTCCTTACAAACTCTTCCAGATGGTTTTCCAGAAAAAGCAATTTCTACAGATCTCCTTCTCTGACTATCGCTGATAAACCAAAGTCAAATCATATTGACAAGGCCTCAACTAACTGCTTTAATTGTCAACGCAGAGAGCACTTTGCTAATGAATGCAAGTCAAAGAAAGTTGTGAAGCCATCTTTAAAGACCTAAAAACGACAAATACTTGAAACTGAAGTAGAAGTACAAGAAGATGAAGAATCTCTAGCGTAAAGGCAAAGGTCTTATCACTGTAGAACATTACTAGGTTGATCATCTGAAGAATCATCTCAGACGAGGAAGACATGACATGTCTATGTCTTATCGCAAAGGACGTCAAGGATGAACCATCTGAGACATCATCCTCTAGTGATCCCTCTCTATCAACCTTTACTCAGGAAGTCTAAGGCATCTGGTATCTAGATAATGGATGCCCAAGACACATGACCAGAGACAGATCCTGCTTTCAGACTATAAAGATGAAAAAGGCCCTTCTGTGACCTTTGGAGGAAATGGAAAAAGATATATCAAAGGCTTTGGTATATTAACCAATGGTGCAACCACCTTCAGATGTGTTGCATATGTTGAAGGACTAAAGCACAATCTTCTCAGCATCAGTCAACTGTGTGATATAGATTTCATAGTTAAATTTCTCAAGAATACATGTTATGTCATTGACAAATTTAGAAATCTTTCTCTAACAGGATCTCGTCAAGAGAATGTATATGTCATCAACATGGATTCTTTTTTCTCTAAGAATAATTGTTTTCTCTCTAAATCGTCTTCAGATATCAATGGGTTGTGGCATAAACAAATTTCGTATCTCAACTTCAAGACGATGAACGAGCTGTCTAGAAAAGAACTAGTCATTGGAATTCTTTGGCACTCTTTTGCAAAGGAATCTCTTTACTTAGAATATGAAAAAGGAAAGCAAACAAAGGCTAGTTTTAAATCAAAACAAGTCTTTTCAATGACCACTCAGCTTTAGCTACTACATATGGATTTTGTTTAGCCCTGTCAATGGACAATCCATAGCTGGAAAAAAATACACACTCATTATTGTTGATGAGTTTTCTAGGTACACTTGGGTTTTCTTTCTCGGATCCAAGAGTGATGCAACTAAAGAAATCATCTCGTTCATAAAGCGCCTAGAAGTACGGAATAACATCAAAGTACGTTGCATACAGAGTGATCATGGCACTAAATTTAAAAACAGTACCATTGATAACTTCCTTGAGAACAAAGAAATCTTACACAATTTCTCTACTGTGAGAACTCCACAACAAAACGAGGTCGCTGAAAGGAGAAATCGAACGATAATCGAAATTGCTTGATCTATGCTCAGCGAGTCTCTTCTTTCTGTTCATTCTGGGTAGAAGCTGTCAACACTTCATTTTTTTACTCAAAATCGATCGTTGATCATTAAGAGATTCAAGAAGACATCTTATGAACTTTTTCATAGCAGAAAGCCTTCTCTCAGCTTTCTACACATGTTTTGTTATACGTGCTATATCTTAAACAACAGAGATCATCTTGGAAAGTTTTATCCAAAGCTGATGAAGGAATCTTTCTTGGATCTTCTTCAGTATCGAAAGCCTTCAGAGTATTCAACAAAAGACGACAAACAATAGAAGAAACTATTCATGTCACTTTTGATGAATCTCAATCAACTAACTTTAAACCCATCTTTGATGATGAAGAAGAGTTACACAACTGGATGATATCTCATTATGGAGAACCTGAAGCTTCATTCAGCAATCAACCCAACGCTGATCTCCCCGAAGTTGAGGATGATCCCATTAGTTACATACCCCCTTCTACTTCAAATATGGATCCTTCAATTGCTGAATCTCCTTCAGTCACGATACCTATCTCAGTAAATAAATCTCTCACTGAGGCTCCTTTGGCAATTCAAGTTGTTGATGAAGCCTCTCTTGCTGAAGCCTCATCTTCTATTCTTGAGCCCCTAATTCAAGATGGTGATAATCTATGTCATCTACCAGCTCCAGTGATAGACGAAAAGTTATCCTATCAATCAAATTCTTGGTGATCCAAGTGCAAGTATTCAGACTCGTCAAGGTCTATGCAATATCTATTTCTTTGTCAACTTTCTTTCTTTAGTTGAGCCCAAGAAATCAATGAGGCTATCACTAAAACAAGTTGGGTCACTGCTATGCAAGAAGAACTCATTGAGTTTGATAGAAACAAAGTCTGGTACCTTGTCCCATGTCCATCTAGCAAAACTATGATAGGTACCAAATAAGTTCATCGTAATAAGTTGGATTAACAAGGAACTATAACCGACAACAAGGCTCGACTTGTTGCTCGGGGATGAGACATTCGCACCAGTGGCTAGACTCGAAGCAATTCAACTATTCCTAGGCTATGGTTTCCATAAGGACTCTAAAGTCTACCAAATAGATGTAAAGAGCATTTTTCTAAATGGAAAAACTTCAGGATGAAGTTTATGTTGAATGACTTCCAGGGTTTCTTGACCCAAAATATCCAAATCATGTCTATTGATTGGATAAAGCTCTTTATGGGTTAAAACGGACACCTCATGCCTGGTATGACACCCTTTCTTCATTTCTCATATCTAAGAAATTTGTCCACGGAGAGATTGACCAGACCTTATTTCTTAGCAAAGTCAAGGGTCTTATCATTCTAGTCCAAATTTATGTCGATGATATTATATTTGTTTCTACTAATCCTTCTTTGTGTTTTTGCTTCTCTGAACGCATGAAGAAAGAATATCATATGAGCATGATGGGAGAACTGACATATTTTCTAGATCTTCAGATTAAGAAATCTGATAAAGGCATTTTTATCAATTAGAGTAAGTATGTTAAGGATATGTTGAAGAAATTCGACTTAACCGACAATTCATCTATGAAAACTCCTATAGCTCCTCCTCTCTCGCTGAATAAGGATCCAAATGAATGGTCTGTAAACGTTACCGCTTACAGAGGATTGATTGGCTCCTTGTTCTATCTTATAGCTAGCCGACCTGATATTATGTATTCTACCTGTCTCTGTGCAAGATACCAGTCTAAACCCAAAGAATCCCATCTGATTGGCGTAAAACGCATATTCAGATATTTGAAGGGTACTCCTAATCTGGGCCTTTGGTATCATAAGTACTCAGGTTTCAACCTAATCAGTTATGTCTATAGTGATTTTGTAGGTTGGAAGATAGATAGGAAAAGCACCACAGGAGGCTGTCAGCTTCCTGATGGAAAGTTGGTGAGTTGGACAAGTAAAAATCAAAACTCAGTGTCCATATCAACTGCTGAAGCTGAATATATAACCACTAGAAGTTGTTGTACCCAAATTCTTTGGATGAAAAATCAGCTAAGCGATTATGATCTTTAGCTCTCTAAGATCCCTATCTATTGTGATAGCACCACTACCGTTGCAATTTCAAACAATCTTGTACTTCACTCTAAGACCAAACATATAGAGATCATATATCATTTTATCAGAGATTATGTTATGAATGGTAATATTGAACTTTGCTTCATACCCACTGAGTACCAACTAGTTGATCTATTTACAAAATCTCTTGATGAAACAATATTCGTTATTTTAATCAGCGAACTTGGAATGTTGAACGCTGAGGATTAATTTCTTCAGCTATAAGAATCACTCATTGATACATAGTGAAATGATTAAGTGTTTCTAATCTATCATTGAACTCTTAAGTAAATGTATTTTTCTCTCTAAGATATGTCTACTTATCTTTTATTTTCTCAAAACTTAAAACTATCATTGAACATTTATCTTATTCAGTTATCAATTGTTTTAAAAGAAAAAGGATGATGCACGGTCATAGTTTTGTGACATCATTAAAAAATTTAAATTAATAGACTATTTCATGCATCCTTCTGACTAGGGATGGTAATGGACCCCGACCCGTCGGGTAACCCGGTCCACCCGCCCCGATCGGGGACGGGGAATCCCCGAAAAATCGGGTCCGGGGACGGGGATCCCCGCTTGGCCCAATCCGGGGATGGGGACGGGGACGGGTATAGCACTCCCCGCCCCGCCCCGTCCCGTACCCGTTATTTATATATATGTTTTATAAAAATTTGAGCTTTGGCTTTGGGCTGTAAAATTAATTGAATGCCTCCTTAGTCTTAGTTCTTCCAGCCCAGTCCACACTTTTAGTCTTTCCCTCCAATCTCCAATTCTCCATGTACCCGTACCTGCTTCTCCTATACCAGTCCTGCAGTCCACGTCTCCACTCTCCACGACCATTTTCTCCTCCACTCCAGGACCTTCACGGCGTTGCACTGCGACGGTAACAGGCCGACGAGGCGACGACGATAACCCACGGCGCTGCACTGCGACGGTGACAGGCCGACGAGGCGACGACGATAACCCACGGCGCTGCATGGACTCCAGGACTCCAGGACCTTCACGGCGCTGCGCTGCCTCTCCCTGGTGTAGTGGTGTGTTAGGTACTTAGGTTTAATATTCTTCTTCTTCATCTTCACTTCTTATCTGACTTCTTATTATATGGACCAATCTGACTTCTTATTATATTATTAGGGATTTGTGAACTAATGTGGACCATCTGTGATCTGACTTCTTATTATATTATTAGGGTTTTGACTTTTCTTTATTAATATTATAATGATCATAATCTGACTTCTTGTTCGTTGGCAAGGCTTCAATCACAAACTTCCATTAATTTTTTATGCTTTTAAGTTTGTATTTTGTAAGTTTATTATAGATTCTCGTTAATGGTTTTTTCATTCATATTATGTCATTATCACATACATGGTAACTTTTTAATTTTAGATGGAACCTTCGGAAAACGAGAACATACATGGTGATGAGACTGAGATGGAAGGAAAYAAGGAACAAGTAACAACCGGTGATGATACTTACGAACCCATAAGCATGCCTGTAGGGACTARCACGRRCAATAWACCACCGCAAAAAAGATTAAAGTCGGTTGTTTGGAATCATTTTGAACAAGTGTATGTTGATGGTGTTAGACGATATGCAAGATGTAATTATTGCAATAAACAACTGACGGGTAGAGCCAACGATGGAACTACACATTTGAAGGACCATTTTAAGAATTGCCCAAGAAGAGTTACAAAGGATATTAGACAACATATCCTAGTTCAGGACCAAAAGGCTTCAGACGGAAAGGGGAAAATGAGTAAATATTCATTTAATGCTGAACTTTGTAGGGAAGACTTAGCTAAGATGATTATTATACATGATTATCCGCTTTCTATTGTCGAGCACTATGGTTTTCGAAAATATTCAGAAGGTCTCCAACCTTTATTTAAGGTACCATCTCGAGCAACAATAAAGAGTGACATAATGAGTATTTATGAAAAACAAAAAGGTTACACTTTGCGGTGTTTGGATGAGAATGAGAGTAGGATTGCCTTAACTTCAGATATGTGGACAGCAAGTAACCAAAAGAAAGGTTACATGGCGATTACGGCACATTATATAGATGGCAAATGGAATTTACAAAATCGAATCATCAGGTAATAATCTCTAGTGTAGCATCTCTAGTTTACGTGGATTAATTTATTGATAATAATCTATTATTTTGTTTAATGCAGCTTTATACACGTGCCATCTCCWCAYACGGCCGAAGCATTGTCACAAGCTATGATGGAGTGTCTTCTCGATTGGAATGTCGACAACAAGGTGTCAACTTTGACTCTTGACAATTGCTCGACAAATGATGCAATAATCGACAAGCTTTTAGGTACTCTTTCTTCTTCATCGCTAATATTAAAAGGGAAGATATTTCATATGTGATGTTGTGCACATATAATTAACCTTATTGTACAAGATGGATTTTCTATAGTTGGGAGARCTATTGAAAATGTTAGGGACAGTGTTGCATTTTAGACAAACTCTCCTAAGAGAGTACAAGAATTTAAACTATGTGCACGACAATTAAGTGTAACTTGTGAAAAGGAATTAGTTCTTGATTGCAAGACAAGGTGGAATTCGGTATATCTTATGTTAAATGTTGCTTTGGAGTATAAGGACGTCTTTAGTCGTTTGAGCAAAAAGGAGAGAAGTTATGTTTGCTTGCCTAGTGAAGATGAATGGGCAATGGCGTCAATTGTTTGTGAAAAGTTAAAGTTATTTTATAGTGTAACGGAAAAGTTTTCGGGAACATTATATCCTACATCAAACATCTTTTTTCCGTTGATTTGTGAAATGAAAGTGTCTTTGTTGAGTTGGAGAAATTCTGTTCATGATGTTATTAGGCAAATGGCATCATTAATGTTGATCAAGTTCAACAAATATTGGAGTGTCATACATGAGGTTATGAGTATAGCAATTGTGTTAGATCCTAGATATAAGTTGAAGTTAATAAATTATTTCTTTCCGAAAATCTATGGTGGTGAGGCAAAAAGTGAGGTTATGAGGATACGTAACCTATGTGTCGAGTTGTTCAAAGAGTATAAGAAGAAGTATGCCGACAAACCTTCACAAAAAGGACAATCAACAGCTAGTTCCTTAGATGGAGATGATTTCACTTTTGACAAACCTACATGGGAGATKGATTATGAGTCTATGATGTGTGATGATGACATCTTGACAACAAGTGAATTGGATGATTATTTGGCCGAAAAAGTTTCACCTAA